AAAGCTGGCCTGGTGGTACCACACCAACGTGGCAGGTATATATACAGCTGGTCTGGTGGCCATGGTACCACACCGACGTGGCAGGTATATATACAGCTGGCCTGATGGCCATGGTATCACACCAACGTGGCAGGTATATATACAGCTGGCCTGGTGGCCATGCATGGTACCACACCAATGTGGCAGGTATATATACAGCTGGCCTGGTGGCCATGGTACCACACCAACGTGGCAGGTATATATACACCTGGCCTGGTGGTACCACACCAACGTGGCAGGTATATATACAGCTGGTCTGGTGGTACCACACCAACGTGGCAGGTATATACAGCTGGTCTGGTGGCCATGGTACCACACCAACGTGGCAGGTATATATACAGCTGGCCAGCTGGTGGCCATGGTACCACACCAATGTGGCAGGTATATACAGCTGGCCTGGTGGCCATGGTACCCGTTATCACACCAACGTGGCAGGTATATATGTACAGCTGGCCTAGCTGGTGGTACAGTAATGAAAATTGAATGGCCACGTGTTAAAATATTGACAAAATTCATGGTTGCAGGGTGCAAGCACCTGTAGGTAAGTTATAAATTTATACATGTACAAAAATAAATTGATCGATTTATAATAATAAAATATTCAATCAATTAAGTTTCACAGGAAACCTTAAGTTTTAATCATACAGTTACAACTTTTTCTTCAGTGGTAGATTTAAAGATGGTTGCTAAAGCTAGGCAATGGACCCACCCTCTGACACATATTTTTATTGATATCTATACCAGAGAATATATGGGCAATGACCACCCACTGACCATTCACCTGTGTGGTCACATGGGATTCTGCTGGGCTGTACCTAATCTTAACACCTTGGGTGAAGGCAATTAATACTGTTAATTAATCAAGCCCATTGTCTGTCCAGTAGATATACACAGGTTAATCAGTACATGGTTACAGGTAAGATACCTATGGCTGTCCCTTTGTCAGCAAATGACAGCCTCGGGCTGAATTCTATTTCAAAACAGTGACCGTTTCACACTACCTAATCCCTCAAATGGTTTACAAACTGGGTGTTACATAATTATATATAAATAGTCAACACTAATTGATAACACATCCCAGAATCAATTGATGGGTCACTGAACCATGATGGACCCTTTTATACCTGTACGTTCATTGGTCCATAATAGCCACAGGGCACAGGTGTTACAATTAAAGAACTAAAGAACAAAATTTTAAAATAAATCAGGAAGGATTATGAGGGGGTTTCTTATGCATAAATCATCTACTCTTTGGCTAGGTGATGTGACAATACCATTAGGTGTTGATTTTAATTGGAAAATACAAATTTTAATTTATTCGACATTTTTAAAGTTTATTCTTATATTTTATTTTCAAAGTAGACATGTAGTTAAATATAATTTCTTACTAGAAACACAGACTTAAAGAGCATCTAATTCTCTACTTGTAAACTACACACTGCCTAGAATCAATAATATTTGTGGTTTTTTTTGTGTGTGTTTTTTTTAAGAAAGGCTTACTTTTCTTCATAACTTGATTTACAAAGAGACAATTGATAAAATTATGACATCCCCCTGAAAATACATATCATTGGTGCATATAGTTTTTTTTAGGGTAAGCACCACCCAACCCTCAGTTTCTTCTTTAAATTTAAATCACAATTGTGATGTTTATGTCCTCAGGGGGTCCTATTGCAGAGGCGTGAAAAAGTGGTTATTTACAGTGATTATAGTTGGGTTGGTTTTTTGGTGATTTTTTGTGCAAGGTATAGATAAAAAGATAAAAACTGGGGTATGTTTTAGAGTGTGATGAGGGCTTCAAGGGCTGCATAGGGTAAGTGTGCTTGAATTTTAAGTCCTCTAGTGTTGTGTATTGAACTGCTGCTATGGGTAGGAGATTCCATTGTGTTATTGTGTGTGGAAAGAATGAATATTTGTAGATGTCCTTTGTAGCAGATATGTGTTTGTATGCGTGAGGGTGTACATGTCTGGTTCGATGGTCTACCTGTGTGAGTATATGTGTTGGGATCATGGCTACTGTTTGGTGTATAATTTTGTGAAAAAGGATAATTCTTGTGTGACAGCGCCGTGTTTGTAGTGTTGGCCATTGTAGTGTGTGGATCATATCTGTGACGGAGCTAGTGTTGTGGTATCTGTTGTGTACGTAGGGTGCTGCTCTTCATTGTGTTTTTTCTATTTGTTTAATTTGGTTTGTGTTGTGTGGATCCCAAATGGAAGAGCAGTATTCAAGTTTTGGCCTAACTAGTGCTTTGTATGCGTGTTCTTTTATATGTGTTGAGTTTATTTTTAAGTTGCGTTTTAAAAAACCTAGGGACCTATTGGCATTGGCTGTAATGTTGTTAATATGTTTGTCCCATCGTAGGTTATTTTGTAATGTTAAGCCTAAATATTTGCTGGATTCTACTGGGTGTATGTGTGATTGTGGAGTATGTAGTCATGGTGTATTTTGTTGCGTTTCGGTGTAATGTTGAGTATGTTGCATTTGTCAGGTTGATAGATCCGGAGATAGAGGGAGAAAAATATTACTTCTACAGCTGGTGTGTATACGCAGTGCTTTGTCCCCCCTCCTACCTTCGACTCAGATTTTGCCCCTTGGTTCTGAACAGGAGGTAAATGTAATTTAACATCAGACCCTTTTCCTTGTGGCATTTAAACACCAGTTTCTTACGTGCTAGCTACAGGGTTCAGACAGGTTAAAATCATCTGTAGAAAAAAGTCCATTTACATATTTAATTGTTTCTAAATAAATGTTTTGTTGGAATTCAGATCTACATTCCTGTAACGTACTACAGTACATTGTAACCCATCATGAATGAGACAATACATATGTATTTATAGTATTTTTTCTTATTCACAGAACATGTAGTAACCTTCATAAAGCTTTTATTTTTTTCATAATGAATATATAGAAAAAACTATCATGTACTAATAACATAATGTTAGATTTGTATATTTAATGTAGACGTGATACTGTTATAACTATAAAGGAACTTCAATGGTGATTATGTCTTTAAGACAGAGTATTATAAACTTTAAACCACCAATACATGTATTAATTAACACATGTACCATGGATCAAAGTCGGTACATGTGGTGATATTTAATAGGTCATCACGCTCTTTACTGCATACTTCCCACCTCTCACAATGGAAAAGTGTGGGCAATAAATCACTTGCTACCACAGTCCACTGCACACATAATCCCCTTTCAAGCTAGGCCAATCATGATTACATGACCATGAAAGGGGGTGTGCCCAGTGGACTGTGGCCACAAATGCTGTAAGAAAGGGGAGATAATCAATCAGTGAGTAACGATGAAGTCAATACAGTAGAGGATAAACTTAGTTGACACATTTCAAATAAGGGGAAAAAATGAAAGTTAAAAATGGTAATTTCATGATTGAAAAACACAAACAGATTTCCTTATCACGTTAGAGGATAAGCATTTCCCGGAAAAGTTTATAATCTTAAGGAGCTGTTCCTTTATACAAAATTGCACATTCAAATATACCATTCATTGAAAGAACTGGAATTCCTTAGGGATTGATAAACCCTTACATTGTATATATGAAAATGGTTTCAATATCCTGTACCTTTGCCACATCTTGAAAATTAAACTGAAAATGTAGTCAGAAATTCAACATCGTTTCCCGTATTTTGAAGAGACACTCCTTACCTTCCCAGACACTGGACCTGGATAGTAATCCAAAAACACTTGTATCCATTATGAAGGATACACTCAGACTGGGCTATTGAGAATCTTACCTGGTTATGATTAGTACTCACTCACATAGGTACATGTAAATTATCTGCAGTGACTCGTCACTCGGGACTTATTACACCCTCGCTTCGCTCGGGTGTAATAAATCCCTTGTTACTCGAAAACCATGCAATAACCTTTACTTACTGCATACTTCCCACCTCTCACAATGGAAATCTGTGGGCAATAAATCACTTGCTACCACAGTCCACTGCACACACAATCCCCTTTCATGGCCAATCATGATTACATGACCATGAGAGGGTGTGTGCCCAGCTGTGGACAGTAGTCACAAATGCTGTAAGAAAAGGGAGATAATTTAATCAATAAGTAAGTAACGATGAAGTCAATACAGTGGAAAGGATAAACTTAATTGACACATTTAAGATTAAAAATAAATAAATAAATAAAGTTAAAAATGTGATTTCATGATTGAAAAACAACCAAACAAAATTAGTGAGTTGGCAGCATTATTGATTTCCTTATCATGTGAGAGGATAAGCATTTCCTGGAAAAGTTAATAATCTTTAGGAGCTATTTCTTTATACAAAATTGCACATTCAAATATACCATTCATTGAAAGAAATGGAATTCTTTAGGGATTGATAAACCCTTACATTGTATGTATGAAAATGGTTTCATTATCCTGTACCTTTGCAACATCTTGAAAATTAAACTGAAAATGTAGTCAGAAATTGAACATTGTTTCCCGTATTTTGTTCTAATTGTTGAACAGACACTCCTTACCTTCCCTGCCACTGGAGCTGGATAGTACTGTAATCCTAAAACACTTGTATCCATTATGAAGAATACACTCAGACTTGGCTATTGAGAATGAAGACAAACTTACCCGGTTCTGATTAGTACTCACTCACACAGGTACATGTGTAGGGTAGGTAAAATGATTGTCCAGATGAACATTTTTTACTCAATTTTTCTGTTTTGTTCGAGTTGGGAAGCATGCAGTGCTTTTTAATTTTAATTGAATATTTTTAATAATATCTTGCAAAAGTTACTGTTAAAGCGATTTGGGTTATTTTTAGTAACAAATTCATACTCCAACTGGCGTATAATAGACGAGTTTGCGTACTATACGCAAGTTGGTGGTTTTCCCCAACCTGGTATATGTGCCATGTCCTTGTGGGTGTTCCTGTACGTGTCAACCCCTGTGAATGCAGTCAAAATAACTTAGGATTACATACCTCCAATGATTGTTTTGATGAGAGACGCGTGTCCGGGGCAATCGACTAGGGTGTACTGTATCTGGGTTCTGCCCGAACTTCCAATCTCCCCAGTCAGGTGATCTGGCAAGTCCACAGAGAATGACGAGAACCCCAAGTCAAGAGTAATCCCTCTTTCCTTACTTTGTGGGTTTTTGTCAAAGCTTGCTGTACTTGCAACAGTACTAAGGGCCTTTGACAAACTCGTTTTGCCACTGTCAACGTGTCCCAGCACTCCCACATTAAAGTTGAACATGCAACCACTGGAGGCCGCCATCTTGTTATAAAATGAAAGGTCCAGACCAATAGCCAGTCGGACCCGGACAAAATGATCCGGATTTTGTTTACAATATAGATTATCATGAAAACATTTATTAAGTCAAATTACAAAAAAGAAATGAAAGAAATGTAATGGTAAAAACATTTTAATAAGCCGTTTTTTTTTATAAAACAAAAACACATTTTTTTTTAAAAAAAAAGGCACGAATAAAAACAAAAGAAAGATATCAAACCGTGAGATTTAATTGTTTACGATACAGATACAGAATACAGATACAGAAGCTTTATTTTACGTCGAATATTATAAACATACAACATAAGCTACGAAGAGCTTGTATTTCGACAAACACATGTAAAGAAACAAAAAATACATAACAAGAAATTTACAAAATACACATACATATTGAAAACGTTAAACAGTAAAAATATGAAGCATATAAAGCATGTACAGCACATTTGTAGAAAAAATAAACATATGACAAAAGCATCAAATTTGTAAACTACAAAGCTGACAAAAAGCACAGAGCCATATGTAAAGCTGTACGTTACATTTTAAACAAATACACTTCAGCCAGCACAGGACACATACAAAGCAGGAAAAATAGGTAGCCAGAAACGCTAACTAACACTTAAAGTGCATCCGCACTCGGGCCCGTCCCACCTACGGATCAGTCTGCCGAACTCGGAGTAGTTCTCCACTTTACGCAATTCGTTCGGCAGGCTGTTCCATATGCGGGCGCCCTCATAGCGGAAGGACCTCTTTCCATACCTGGTGGTGTTGACCCTTGGAAGCTGTGCTGTATTTTCATTCCTAAATGAATAAGATGAACATTTTATATTTATTATTTCTTGTAGGTAGTCAGGAGATAACTTATTAACAATTTTAAAAACTTCGCAAGCAATGAGTTTCATGCGAGTAATATGTAAACAATATGAGTCTGTGCTCGATAAAATATCCTTGTAATCTGAGATATAATCATTTAGTACAAAACGTAGTCCTCTCTCCTGGATTTTTTCCATCTTGTTTGTGCTAGATTTATTACAAAAGTGCCAAATAACAGGACAAAAATTAAAGTTTGACATTACAAAGGATTTGAGAATTAACATTTTTACATTTTTTGGTAAGGAGTTTCCAATTCGCTTGAGTACCGCCAACTGTTTTGAGGCTTTTCTACATAGCTCTGAGATGTGTTGGTTAAAATTTAATTTTGAATCTATATTTACTCCAAGTAGCTTTACATTTTCTTCACAGTCAATTTTTACTCCTTCAATTTC